CTTTATAATCCCACGGGAACACATGATGATAATTGTGCCAGCCCTCGCCAAACGTCAGAAAAGCAACCAGCTTATTATTCGTCGGATTAATGTGTCTGTTATTAAAACAGTCTGTATTAATACTTTGACTGCAATCCCCATTTAATGAAGATGCATCCCTGATATGAAAGTGATATTCTTGTGTCACTGATCCTTTATAACATTATAATGATGTGCAAAATAGGAATTGGGCGGATAAGAACCGCGCATACAGAAAAAAAATGTTACCAGCTCAGCTAATCATAATTGGCGGAAAATATATTTGTTGATGTAATTAAAACTTTTGCTATTATTTCTACTACATTGATTACATAGCTGAACCTATGCTAATAGCTATACTTTTAGATATGTATATGCTAGAACGAGATTTAAGTGCCACAGCCGGATTTTTATCGTAGCTAACTTTTCTCCATGCAAAGATGTCACTAAGAAATTATTATTCGCTATCAACATTCCTACTCAGCTATCATTGGCTAAAATTACTTCTTTTTGATTGAATATTTGAAAATCCTTAAGACAGTTCGTACTTGATACAGAAAACTTTCTTTTTCGCAAGAATTATTTCAACATTTTACAACATTTTTTATATTTGATTCCCACGAAATCAACTCCCAACGTATCACACGTATTATACGTTCGTAGTTAATGGATTAAAGGATCCGCTTTGGGTTGTGTAAACGCGAGCCAACTACTCACGCGTTATACGGTTTCGAACCCCACATATGAGCCACACTATTGACGCTCCACGTGGAATTCAAGCTGATCACGTAGCGAAGCAACCACTGCGATTTAATTGACCTCATCCATGTCTCGTTCCATCCATAAACCGGTACCAGTACCGGTAGCATGAAGCAAAAGAGAAATCTAAGTATCACGAAATACCTGGCAACCAAACGTATAGCAAATGAATAAATCAGTAAAAATTAGTAAAGCCTGCTAATATTTGATCCCTTATTTTGCATTTCAGTGATGTCGAATAACTCATAATTCGAAGACATTATACACACTTAAAAAGTCAGATGCTGACGATAGAAATACGACGCAATTGACAATTTAGACAGAGTCTCACTTTGCACTGACGCTTGTCAGATACAGAACTAGTTTTGAATGGCCACAGGCGATCCCGTTACTTTCCTTTTTTTACGAGAGGACTTACTTTTCGTCGAACACGACGACAGGATCCGTCAGGACATCGCTCATGTCAATCTCACGACCTCTTCGGATCACTTCCGGATGCTTTTTCATCATCAACCAGCCGATGTGGGAGAAGAAGAATCCGCGATTGCTGTTGTGCGGATCCGCGTCCGTGTCAGCATATTTATGATGTATCCGATGATCTCGCACCCAATCCGAAATCTTGTTCTATAAAAGATAAACATTATGGGAAAAGATTTTTCCTTATCTCTTTCTCTACTCCCCCCCATCTCTCTCTTTCTCTCCTTTTTCACTAACTCTTATATAATTTTACGTTTTAAGGGAATTTTTTCTCAGAGTCGTAACGAATTTTTCTTTCTATTTTGCTGTCTATTAATCTACCTATATATATCTAGAATGGCAAAATTAAGAGTTTGTTTTATTACCTGGCCAGCCACGGTGTAGAAAATGAGAAGCAGAGCTCGAAGCGGTAATTTGGCTTTGTAAGCGTGATGTGACCAAAGACGATGAACACCAGCAGTTATACCAATCGCTTGTATAGCACCTA